CTGCTGGCTGTCACATTGTGTCTGTTCATCACATCTGCCTACACTCTTTTAATCCACAACAGACCCTCGATCTTTTGTTTTGCTTGTTTTAATTTTCCATGACACTTGCATTTGGTAAGAACCCAGACCCATTTTCTTTAGACTGTTCAATAGTCTGGTTCTGCCTCCGCCTTTCCGGGATTAAATGTTCGGATCAGTGAGGCAGCAAAGGCGACAGCCCATCAGGAGGTCCAGGACATCAGCTTGTCCTGTTAGTGGGAAGTGAAGGCTGAACACTCAGCCAGGGTGGGTTCTGCCAGCTTCCTCCGTGGCCAAGGTCCCTCATAGAGTGAATAAACCATGTGTGGGGTAGTTCCTTGAGACTGTAAATATGTTTTTCAATGACCATTTACCCAATGGTTTTAGCATCAGTTGACGGTTATTGTCTGAATCCGTCGTTACATTTATGATTGCAAAATCATGACTTTCTAATTTTATCATTTCCTTCACATTTACTAGGCATTTTCTTGGTCAAGAAATGCCAAAAAAATTCTTAAGCGTTGGGGCACCCACATGACTCAGTCGTTTGGGCTCGTGACTTTGGCTCAGGTCATGATCTCGCGGTTCATGGGTTCGAGCCCCAAGTCAGGCTCTGTGCTGACAGCTGGGAGCCTGGAGCCTGCTTCGGATTGTGTCTCCTTCTCTCTCTGCCCCTCCCCACCCATGCTCTGTCCATCTGTCTCTCTCTCTCTCTCTAAAATAAACATTAAAAAAATTAAAAACAAATTCTTAAATGTTGATATGAATTCATAGATTCTTTTTCCATTCAATTATTCTTTTTGATGGTCAAATTGATCCAAATTTAGCCAGCGAGACCTCCTTAAAGCTGGCTCCTATGTTCCCATTTTATTTTATTTATTTATTTTTTGAAGGGGGATGACTTTTATTTTTACATTATTTCAACTTAGAAGAAAGTTGCAAGGGGGCACCTGGGTGGCTCAGTTGATTAGTGTCCAACTCTTGATTCCAGCTCAGGTCACGATCTCACGGTTGGTGAGTTCCAGCCCCGCGTCAGGCTCTCTGCTCACTGCGAGGAGCCAGCTTGGGATTCTCTCTCTCCCTCTCTCTCTCTCTCTGCCCCTCCCCCACTCATTCCCTCTCTCTCAAAATAAATAAAACACTTTTTAAAGAAGAAGGAGGGGGGCGCCTGGGTGGCTCAGCTGGTTGAGTGTCCGGCTTCAGCTCAGGTCACGATCTCACAGTTCATGAGTTTGAGCCCCGCATCAGGCTCCGTGCTGACAGCTCAGAGCCCGGAGCCTGCTTCGGATTCTGTGTCTCCCTCTCTCTCTGCTCCTCCCCCGCTCATGCTCTGTCTCTCCCTCTCTCCTTCAAAAATAAATAAAAACATTTTTTAAAAATTAAAAAGAAAAAAAAAAAGAAGGAGGAGGAGGAGGAGGGGGAGGAGGAGGGAGGGGGGAAGGAGGAGGAAGAGGAGAAGACAGTCGCAAGAACAACACAAGGAACTCCTGTGTGTCTCTTAGACTCACCAATTATAACATGCCGCCCACTTGTTTTATGATCTCTCTCTATCTGTAGATATAGATGCATAAGTTTTTGATGAACTATTTAAGAATAAATTGGAGATACCGTGCACCTTTGCCACTCAGTGCTTCGGTGTGTATTTCCCAAGAGCCAAGCCAATCTCTTACAAATCACCGAACTTCTACACGCCATTGGGAAATCTAACATGGATACCATACTCTGAGCTGGTCTGCAGGCACCTTTCTCAGTGACATCTTCCCTGCATCCTTTTGAGTGTTTCCATTCTGCTCTGAGCACTTCACTTCTGCCACTCAAGATGTCCTAGGTTCACCCAGGATGTTCCCTGCCCCAGCCATTTAAATCTGCCATTTCTCAAGGAAGCCCCAGTCTCCATGAGAAGGGAGTGGGCTTTAGAAGCCAAGGCCTGGAGCTGAACGTGCTCAGCGTTATGGAGCCCCTCTGCCTTCTACGACCTCGCCAGGGACAGGGCTGGCATCCTGATGGCATAGAATGTCTCTCCCTCCAAACCACACCTCAGGCTTCTTCCTCTCCCCTCATTCCATATTTATATTTGGTTGAACAATATGAAATTACCAACATTCAACCATTTTTTATTCTACAAAAGAAAAAAAAAAAAAGCAAATCTACATGGTTCAACCAGGTATACCTTTCTCCACGGTGACGATGCTTGTTTTCAGTAACATCAGTGTGTTTACTAACGTTCTCTGTTCCAGGGCACCTGGCTGGCTCAGTCAGTAGAGCATGTGACTCTTGATCTCGGGGTCATGAGTTCAAGCCCCACATAGGGCATGGAGCCTACTTTAAAAAACAAAACAAGGGACTCCTGGGTGGCTTGGCCAGTTAAGCGGCCCACTCTTGATTTCGGCCCATGATCTCACAGTTCGTGAGTTCGAGCCCCACGTAGGACTCTGCAGTCACAGCACACATCGAGCTTTGAATCCTCTGTCTCCCTCTCTCTACCTCTCCTCCATCCCCACTCTCTCTTGAAAATAAATAATGTTAAATTAAAAAAATATTTAAAACATCAACAAACAAACAAACAAACAAACAAAAATTCCCTCCAAATAGCCACAGCAATCTGGCTATTAACTACCGACCTACTAAGGAAATTTCAAGATCTCTTTGTAGTTATTTTTGTCCTCAGAACAGATACCGCTAAAGAAGTACAGAGTATAGTGTTCAAGTTTTATTTGAATTAATTCTCTTTTTCTGTGCAGTTACGGTCATCCGGTACATAGGTTCATTTATTTCTGAATCTTAGGGTCTTTTTTTCACCTTTTTTGATTGAATGCTATGTTTGGTTATACAAGATATTTATGTGCATCAAAAGTTACAAGTATAGGGGCGCCTGGGTGGCGCAGTCGGTGAAGCGTCCGACTTCAGCCAGGTCACGATCTCGCGAGATCTCACGTGATCTCGCGTGAGTTCCAGCCCCGCGTCGGGCTCTGGGCTGATGGCTCGGAGCCTGGAGCCTGTTTCCGATTCTGTGTCTCCCTCTCTCTCTGCCCCTCCCCCGTTCATGCTCTGTCTCTCTCTGTCCCAAAAATAAATAAAAACGTTGGGAAAAAAAAATTAAAAAAAAAAAAAAAGTTACAAGTATAACACAAGACAGCCAGAAAGGATCACTCCCTCTTGGTCCATTCCCACTCACCCCATGGAAAACCATCCTCTTTCAGTTCTGGGGTAGCCTTCCCGTGTTTCTTTTTGCAAAGATAAGCAAGTGCATGTATCGGAATGCTAAGGGACATGGGTGTAAATTCTTCCCGTCCTTCCTTCTCACCCAGCGGGTGGCACGGATGTCCCCTTGTGTGTTATTTTCACCGCAGCCCACATGACCCTGCTCGAGGACCAGTTCGACCTCGTACACCGCACCCAGAGTGCCGAGCGTCCCCAAGTGGATGTTATAGGGGAGGTCACAAGCTGGACAGCCTAGGGAGGGGTCGGGACACGAACTCCGGGCTGCATGGAGGGTGGGGGTTGGTTCTTCACTTGTAAGAGGACAGCGGCGGCAGCCCTGACTGCCGAGGAGACGGGGCCAAGCCATAGAGCACATCACAGGCAGTGAGTGCCCCACGGTGGGCCTCCGCCGGCCCTGAGCCAGGCCGCAAGACCAGGTTGGGGTCCTCGCCCCAGGCGGCACAGAATGTCCTGGCCTGGCCCAACCCAAATGCTGAGGGAGGAGAGCAATACAGGTTACCTTCCTGGGCATTGCAAACGGGGCCAAGGCTGTATTTTCCAGAGAAATGATGGCTCAAAGAAATGATGTGGTTTTATTAGGACCTCAGGTCATATGTTGTAGGTTACAAGCGCCTGGCTGGCCTGGGAAACAAAGCTCCTATTACCTCCAGGAGCAAGTAGTTTTTGAGGGTTCACCTTGTGCTGGGCCCCTGGGGGAGGCACGGCCCTGCCCTGTGCCATCCTTACAATTCAGCAAAATGCATTTAAAAGATACGTATAAGGGCACCTGTGTGGCTCAGCCGACTAAGTGTCCGACTCTTGGTTTCAACTCAGGTCATGATCTCACAGTTTGTGAGTTTGAGCCCGCATCAGGCTCTGCTTGGGGGCCGTGGAGCCTGCTTGGGATCCTCTCTCTCCCCCTCTCCCCCTCTCTCTGCCCCTTCTGTTCTCTCTCTCAATATAAATAAGTAAAAAAAACTTTAAAAAATATATGTACCTATGTGTGTGTTTACATGCACATACACACACGATCGTGGTTACATGGCATTTTTAACTTAACCAGCCTCATCTATTTTCCAACATAGATCTTTCTGGAAATTATCTGTGGTATCATTAAGGCAGTGACTTCTCACTGCCAGAGAATGAAACGATGACTCCGGGCGACCTCCACACTCACCACTCTGCTCTGAGTCATGAGGGTCCTGGGGCAGCTGTTCTCCTATCATCTGCCCCACCCCCCAGAAGACAGCCTAGGGACAGGGCTCAGGTGAGCCAACAGGGTCCCTGCCGCCCCCCCTCCCCCCCCCCCCCCCCGGGCGAGGGGGGGGGGGCCCCCGGGCACTAAGAACCTCACACACACACACACACACACACACACACGCACACACACACGCACGCACACACACGCACACACACACGCGCACGCGCACACACGCACGCGCACACACACGCACACACACGCACACACACGCACGCGCACACACACGCGCGCGCACACACACACACGCACGCACGCACACACGCACACACACACGCACGCACACACACGCACACACACACACACACACGCACACACACACGTGCTAGAATGATCAGAGCATTGATTTCATGAAACAGTTGAGTTTCTAAGTCGCCACCCTGCCGGCTGGCAAAGTGACATACTCAGCCCCAGTGCCCTCTTCTGAAATCTGGAGGGGCCCCGGCACTGTCCCTACCTACCCTCTCACGGGTTCTGAGCAGCGAATGCCCTGGGCTGGGAGGGCAGGGATCGCTGCCTCCCCACTCCTTCTGGCCCCTGTCCTCCCTCCTCCAACAACGACGCGGTAGCAAGACAGCTGTTCCCAGAATCTGCTTTGAATTAAAAAGTGGTGTGGCCCTTTAAGAGAAGCATCTGCCGCCCCCGCCCCCGCTGCCCCCTTTGATGTCGCTGGCGCTGAAAGGCTCCCAGTGACGAGATCTGAGGGTTTGTTTCTGCCTCCCTAGGGGCCACGTGCAGATCACAGGGTGGGAGGGAGGATGGGCCGAAGGTCACATGGCCCGGCCTCCCTGGCCTGCAGCCGCTATTGCAGCCGGCACTGGGGACCAGCAGGCTGCACGGATGGGGACCAGCTGGCCTGGAGCTCATTAGGGCGCGAAGGAGCCAGCAGCTGGCAGAGCCCAGGGGGAGCCCTCTGGCCCTCCCCATGGGGCCTGACCTCCCCAGGCCCTTCCTCACCTGTACGGCAGGGGTGGGGCACGCGCTGGCGCCCTGGGGACACCTGCGACACCCTGGGAAGCCCCATCTCCGCAGATCTTCCAGAAGCACCTCCTATCCCCATCCCCTTCCTCCTGCCAGCTTTGGAGGGTGGCCGTTCCCAGGTGGGCCCTGACACTCCAGTTAGCCCGGGGGGCAGCCACATCCGGGAGGGTCCTCCAGCCAGGACCATCCACCAGGCAGCTGAGGCTTTGCGGGGAGATGGGGGGGGGGGGGGGCGGGGGGGGGGGGGGGCGCAGAGAGGCAAGCAGGTCTTGCCAAATGACCGTGCATGGGACCCAAGGCCCTCGGGGGTTGAGTCTGGGGCCAGGAAAGCCTGCACTGGTCCTCTGTTCGCTGGGATGGGATGGGATGGGATGGGAGGCGGTCACAGGGGGCACTATGATGTAGCTTCCTCTCGCAGCCCTGGGGGCCCTCACCCCTACGTGAATGGGGCTCTCACCCTGGGCTCTCTCAATCCCAGGATAAGGGGTATATATATGGTCCCTTCTGCCAGGTGATCCCAAGGCTGCTCAGGGCAGGCCTGTGAATGGCCACCTGATTCTCAGGAGAGGACATGTCCCCGCAGCGGGCCTAGAAGTGTCTGTAAAGGGCCTAGACCCACACACCCCCGCACCAGGCGAGCCGTTTTGCTGATCGAGGTCTGGGAGTACGAGGCCAGGGGGGATTTCCTGCCAATGAATGGGGGTGGGGGGACCCTGGGGGAACCCAAAAGAGGGTTCAGATTCTCTGACTGCAGGCTCTGGCCTTGAGGCCCCTTCCCTGGCTCAGAGCTGGAGATGGGCTCTTGCCTGGCCAGGGAGCAAGGCCTCCTCTCAGAGCAAGCCCCTGGGGGGAGCAGGATTGTCTGCCCTCTGGGGCCTCAGAGGCCAGCAGCTGGGGTGCGGAGCTGCCCAGGTGGCGGAGAGCGAGGCGAGGCGGCTGAGGCCGGCAGGCGGCATCTGGGCCCCAGACGGCAGGCAGGCCACAGCTGGAGCTCAGAGCAGCCCTCCTGCTAGGCAAAGCCAGACCCAGGGCCCTCAAGGGGCCCCAGGAGGGAGCCAGCCGTGCGGTGTAGGGCGGTCCCACATCTGGGCAAGGGCACTGGGTCCACAGCTGCCGCATGACCGGAGGTCCCGGAGGCCCGGCCCTCTGGCCGCACTGTTGGTCTGAAAGGCCTCACACGGGGTTTCAGGTGGGACCCCCGCACCACGGACTGCCCTCCACCGCGCCCTCTTCCCTCTCCCTCAGTGGCTTCCACCAGCCAGGGCCCTGAACCTGCCCCAGCTTGGGCCCTAGCTCTGTTTTTCCCAAAACGTTTGTTCATTCTCTGCCTGCCGCTTCCCAGGAATTGGGCACATGTTCACACGTGGAACACGGCCCCCATCAGTTACCCGTGTACTCACCTGAGGTCTCCGGCTCCCTCCCCCATGTCTTCCTGCCCAGGCGGCAGCCCCTGCACCCCCAAACCATGTCTGGGGATACCCCTCCTAATGAAAAGAACCCCCCCTCCCCGCTCCGGGTTCTCAGTTCCCCAGCTTCCTTGCAGCTGAGCATATGCCAGATCTGAGCTTAGCTGGGAGCACCTGCCCCCCTGAATGGGAGCCAGGAAGCCAAGAGGCAGGAATAAAGCAAAGTCCACTGCACTGCACGTGGCCGTGGGGAGAGGCCAGAGAAGGGCGAGCCCCACGTCCAGCATCTGTGGCGTCCTTGGTCTGTGGGCCACCGCAGGGGGATGATTTGTTCCTGCTCCTCGTCCCCAAACCCAAGTTCCTACCCTCCAGACATTCCATGAGCCTTTGGTGCCCATGACCTCAGTCTACATTGGTCCCTCAGGGATGGCCACCACGCACGCCAAAGTAATAACCATCATATATCACATGCTCCCTAGCTTCTGCTGGTCCTGCCTCATTTCCTGTTCCCACGACCCTGGGAGGCACGCGCTGTTCTTGTCGCCACTTTACAGGTGAGAAACCTGGCAATCCAAGGCCCAGTCCCAGGTGGGGGTGGGGGTGGGGCAGAGAGCAGGTGCTGGGGGTTCTGCTGCTCCGTCCCCCACCATGTGGGGCCCCTGGACGTCCATCTAGTGAGCAAGCTGGGGGGTGCACATCACATGTCCTGGGAGAATGTCCCACCTGGACACTCAGCCTACCTGGAGCACATCCTCAGTCACGTGGTGCCCTACGTCCAGCCTGGTGACCACCATGGGTCACACCCATCGGAGCTATAGGGTTTGTCTGTTTGTTTTTCCCAGGTAAAATTCACATAACCTAAAACCAATCACTTTAAAGTACACAATTCCGCGGCATTGAGTTCATGCACAGGTGCAACTGCAGCCTCGACCGATTCCAGAATATTTTCGTCACTCGTCCCCTCTTCCTCCATGTGCCCTGGCAACCAGCAGTCTGCTTTCTGGCTCTGTGGATTCGCCCATTCTGGCCATTTCGCACGAACGGAATCAAAATATGTGGCCTTTTGTATCTGGCTTCTCTCCCTCGGCTTCACGTTTCTAGGATTCACTCATTACGAAGCGCGTGTCGATGCTTCCTTTTTATGTCTGAATGGTATAGACCACGTTTTGTCCATCCGTTCCCTTGTGGGTGGACGTCCGGGTTTTCCACCTTTTGACGACTGTACGTACTGGCGCCACGGACGGTGCCATACAGGCTTTTGTTGGGACACCTGTTTTCAATTGTTTTGAGAATATACCTGGGCATGGGATGGCTAGATCACACGATAATTCCGTTTAACCCACCGAGGAGCCACCAAACTGTCTCCCGCAGTGGCTGACCCATTTTACGTTCCCGCCAGCGGCGCACACACGTCCTCCGTGCGTCCCCGGCCAATGCCTGTCCTTTCCTGTGTTTCTGACCGCGCCCCATCCTCCTGGCTGCGAGATGGTATCTGACCCGTTGCTGCTCGGCCGAGGGTCTGCCCTCCTCCGTGGCCTCGGGGCTGGGTGCGTCTGCCTGGAAGAGGAGGCCCAGCGCTGGGCAGCCTGAAGGGCCGCTGTCCTGGGAGGACCCGGCAGAGTGCAGGCGCTGCAATCTCTGAGTGCGGGAGTCTGGGGCGCAGAAGGCACAGCTGGCCCCTCGGGGGGCCGGCAGGGAGAGGACAGAGTCAGTGTGTCACAGCCAACTGCTGCGGCAGGTCAGGGTCGCACGGAGCAGGAATGGCGAAGGCGGAGACACAGACAGACGGACGGGCAGGAACGTTCCAGGGAAAGCTTTTCGCTTCTGCTAGTTATGTCGAATAAACCAAAACAAGAACTCGTTTTGGTTCAATGTGCAGGCTAAAACGCATTACGGCAAACACCGGCGAGTACAACATGCGTGCTCTCCCCTCGTCCCGGAATTTCGTTGGCAATCACCGCTGCCGTCCCAGCCGCCCACCGTGCTGAGCACTTTCACGCATGGGCTCCCATCATCCCACAAGAGAAGCTCTGATAGAGGTACGGTCATTACCCCACTTTAAAGAAGAGGAAACGGAGGCATAGAGAGAGGTCACAGGTCCTGCCCTGGATCTCCCAGCCAGGAAACGGCTCAGAGCCGGGTCAGTGTGGAGCACGACCCAACCCGATGATGCCACCCAGCTGGAAGCCGACCTTCCCCGCCTGGGACTTGGAGCAGTAGGCTCCTAGAGGTAGGGGGCTCCCAGGCAGGTTCTCCCCAATACCTAGGTCAGCGGGGGCGGGAAGGTGGAATCCCTCCGGATGGAATCCGTGCGAAGCTACCACCTCTGGCCGGCCAGTCCCAAGCCTTTAAACGGACCCAACCACGTGGGGTGGGACGGCCAGTGTGGATTTTTGAGCGAACAGAGCTCACTCTCAGCACGTCTGTGAGCTTCTCTGAGCCTCGGTCCCCCTCATCTGGAAAATGGGTGCACAGCTTCCCTGAAGGTGCCCGCAGGGAGGACCGTGCTTATCACACAGCCTGCCCTCTCTTAGCTGAATGACTCCGGCCCAGGCCAACCTCCGGGGCCCCTAAGACTCATCTTAGGCGTTGAGGGTTCCATTACACACCTCACATCCCTCGATGCCCGAACACCAGCTCTCAGGGGCCCTGTTTGGTCTTCCTGAGAGCCCAGCCAGAGCTGCCTGCTGTGTGTACAGCTCAGCACTCAGCCTCAGGCCTGGTGAGAAGGACAGAGAGCAGTGGGGCCAGCAGCAATCCAGGAGGGCTGGGGTGGGGTGGCAGCCTCTAATCTCCTGCCCCAGGAGGGGTGCAGGTGCCTCCCCGCGGGGGGGGGGGGGGTGAACACAGCCTCCCCGCTGCCCTGAATTAGGAGAGGGACTCAGGAAGCCCCCCCGCCCCCAACCCAGTTCTGGACCCCTGTCCCCAAAGGCAAGGCCTGTTCCCTATCTTTAAAATGGGTGTGATGGCATCCGCTGGACTGTAGACGGGAGGAGAAAAGAGAAAAGGTCTACTAAAGCACTTTGTGGGTGTGGAGGGTGAAGAAACGCTTTTTTTCTCCCCACCCACCCGTAGAAGCCTCCTAAGCAAACACCTGCCCCCCCCCCACACACACACCCCGTTTTGATTTCTGAGAAAGAATCTCCTTCTGTCTTCGGTGAGGTGCGCTGGGAAGGTGAGGTGATGGGCCAGACAGACTGGGCCGCGTGGGGGTCCCTGAGGGGAGACCGAGCCGGCGGCTCATCGATCCTCGCCCCCTCCCCTCCCCATCTCCCAGTGGCGGCTGGGGCAGGGAAAGGTTCTTGGGGGTCCTCGGCGTGGAGCGCTCAGCCAGGGCTCACGCAGGGAGGATCCAGGACCCCACCCCGAGGCCCGCCGACCTCGGTAAGTGGCAGCGCCCCTTCTGGCCCCACTGCCTCCCAGGGCCGCCCAGAATCCGTCCATCCGGGCGCAGGATCGGGCGACTCCCCCGTGGCGCCGTGCCGGGACGCCCGGTGCCTCCCCGCAGGTCGCCGAGGGCGCCGGGGCCCCGCGCCACACCTGTCCGCTCCTCCTGGAGGCCCCCGCGCCGCTGCTGCCGGCCCCTCTGCGCGGGGCCCTGTGTCCGCCGTCGCTTTGATCCCGGGGGCCCCGCTGGATAAAAGTCCCGGGCGGCTCCGCGCCAGCGCCAGAGGGGGAGCGCAGCCGAGCCGGCGTCCCAGCGGGCTGGCGCAGGGCGAGCGACGCCGAGGAGCCGGGGCCGCGGGGCCGGCCGCGGTGAGCGCGGGGCTCGGGCGCGTTCGGGGCGGGTGGTGGGA